TTTAGTGTTGTAGGCAGTAGACTGGCAGGTGGGCTCCCCAAGAACTAGGAGGTGAGCCAAAATACAACAAATAACTCCTAGGTGCCCCAGGTAGTGCCGTAAAAGCACAGTGTGGATGGGTGGCTCTGGTTCTGGGGAGATTCCAACCATCTCAGTGCTCAGCAGAACACTGCTGCCGCCCGCTCCTCCCTCGCCCCTGTTCCTATCACACAGGTGACACATGACATACAGCCATCTCCAGCATTGTCAGAAATACCCTGCTCTGTGGGAGTGAGGGCAGAAAGGCTGACACCCAAAATCTAAACTTATCCTGGCTCCCCACAAAGAGGGGCAAAAGGAAAAGTACAGCAAAACATCTTCAGTGTGCATGATTTAGATGGAGAACTCAATTGTCCCAGACCCTGAGGGTCCTGGGATGTCTACTTTAAAGGAGCTGGTACTATTAACCAAGAGTCAGCTGAGTGGCATTTCAGAGTTGTGTCATGGGTGTTGGCATGAAGGGAATGCAAGTCAACTCGGTTGCTTACATTGACCTTACTGCTATTTCAGTAATGCCAGACTCTTAGGCTCATGGGTACATGTGGAGAAACAAAAACTGACAGGTTGTCAGATCTCTGAACGTGGGCACAGATGCTACTACAAGCCTCATGGAATCAGGTGGCATCTTGACGGAGTCTTGATTGCGGTGGTTTTTATGAACAAGCCCTGGGCATAGGGGATAGCAGTGGTGAGGCTGGGGGTGCAGTGAGAACTGGCTGCCGGTGCCACTGTGCTTCCAGCCACATTGGGCTCTGAACAGGCACGGCTTCATTTATCCTTCAGGCCCAACAGGCATTACCATCCCCGCTTCCTCCCAGGCAATGGGAGGATACTGCAATTCACACAGGGTAAGAGGAGATGGTGTCAAAGGAATGACTTCTGTTCCGCCTCCCGGGAGGAGTCTCATTGTGTGGAAGATGGCAAATGGCACAACAATGCCTGCTGCCAGGAGCAGCAGGCTCAGGGTGTCAACCCACTCCACGGCTGGCAGGTGTCGCCAAGAAACACACAAGTCACCCAGCACCAGATGGAAGCACGCTTTAGTCACACAGAGAAGAGACAGAACAAGAGTGACTTCAACAGTGGGTATCGTCCCCCTGTGACCAGGGGTCTCAGTCTGCCACCAACACAGGACAATGACCTTCACATAGACTTTTTATGCAGGTAAAGGCCTCTCATTCCCTCTCCACCTGGAAGGGATGCCGGGCGCTGGCTAAGAGCCACATGGCACACAAGCTTAAGCAGAACAAAGGAGCATGCTTTGAGCTCAGAACAGGGAAAAGATGGTTGCAAGAAAGTGATGTACTCCACACACCCTTAATGTACCTTATCTCTTGGGAGGAAAGGGGTTTAGGCCTAGACCACTTTCCTGAAGCTGAGTAGGAGTCAAAGGTAACTTGTACCTGGTCATTATTCCCCAACACTGGGACCAAGGTCAAGCTGTTGGTGAAGCTGCCTCTGGATTTGGACACAAGTCTTCCTGGCACCACAACCCACGAGCTTTCTTACCTGAGCTCAGTCACTTCTCCCCAAGCCCATGTAACAAGATCTGTGTATGGTGACACATGCCTACACTCCTTGTGCTGGAGAGGCAGACATGGGCAGAGACCTCTGGGCTTGCTGGTCAGTAAGTCCAGCCTGCTTAGATAATTCCAAATCAGTGCCATACTATTTCAAAACAAAACAAAACCCAAGAAGGCAAAAGTCTGAAATGTCTGAAGATGAGAGCCTCCTGATCCCTGGAAGGCTCCCTCCCTCTTCACCAAAACAGCCCATCAACTAACAGATTCCTGAGGGAAAAGATGGCTTAGGTGACGGTCTGTAATGCTGACCCCAAGAATGGCATTTCAGAACCTGTGGCTCTCCTGCCCTGAAACATCTCCATGCACAGAGGTTTAATGCAGAAAGCTAGATGCTGGGGGGGGGAGAGGGGGGAGAAGAGAGGAGATGAGGAGGGAGAGAGGGGGAGGGACGGACGGAGGAGAGGGGAGAGAAGGGAGGGGGTAAGAGGAGAGAGGGGAGAAAGACATGCATAAAAGAAAAATAATAACCTGACACTCAAAATCTTTGGCAATTATATACGAAAATGGACACATGGACTGTTTAGCCCCAGGAGATGTGAAGGGCTGGTAGGACTCTGCAAAGGAGACCAGAGAGATGGCTCAGCAGTTGAGTGTTTGCTGCACAATCATGAGGTCAGGAATTCGGATCTCAGCACCCACATAACAAACTAGGCTTCTGGTGCACACCTGTAACCTCAGTTCTGCAGTGGCGGGGAAGACAGGAAAGGAGCCAGGGCTTGCTGGCTTTTAGGCTAAGGGAGAAAGTGGGAGCCCCAGGTTTAAGGAGAGAGCCTCCCTGAAAGGAATAGATGGGTGGTGATAGAGGACATCCCATGCCTTATTCTGTCTATGCATACATACACAGTTGTGCACACACATGCATGAATATACACTCACATACACAAATAAATACATTGTTTTGAAAGTATCTGAAAAGAAGGCATGGGTCAGATTCAGGCATTTGCGTCCTGTGTGGGTCCTTGGATTCTGTTTGAATACTAAGCCCCTGCATTGTTTCTCCCAGGTTTTAGTAATATGAGTAGACTGGGCTGGCTAATTTGAAGAGTTATGACCCAGTGTTTGCACCCAGGGAGCCGAAGGTTAAAGGAAGTTCAGCATATGATCTATGTCCACCACACTCATTTTAGAAACCAAGTTGCATTTAGCATTCAGATCGTTTCAACTCTTCTCTGCCCAGTTCTCTTCTCAGGGAAGCTTGCAGTTAATTCTACACAATGTGCATTGCTAATGTGGAGGAACAGAGGCATCCGTCATCCTCCTGCTCAATTGGAACGCCCACGCTGTGTCTCCTGCTCCCCGCATTTGACTTGGAAACCTCACAGACCTCTAAATGAAGCTGCTGCAATGTGCAAGGAGTCAATTCCTATTCCATTCGGTTCCTACTGGTGCTGCCCACCTCTCCAGCTCTGGAAAGACTTGGGACAGCAGGCTAAGGTGAAGAGGCCCTAGCTATCTTCCTATTTATGGTTGGAAAGCAGAGGGAGGAGAGGACAGGGGCTCTCAGAGACTTTCTGTGGTGCCTCCAGCCAGCAGAACAGTAACAGGCAAGGAGACAATGAATTGTGTCCACCCAAGACTTCCATATAGACAATTCAGTTAATCAGTATGTGAAAGGCAGAGGTTGATTGTGTTTTGTTTTCATGGCTGGGGAATCCAAGGGATCAGTAGCATCCAAATTTGAGATCCGACTCCAAGTTCCACCTTGGATTTCCTGACTGCAATTTGGTTTGTGTAATGACTGAAAATGTTTTCCAGTCAGAATGAACCTAAATAGAAAGGCAAGCAATGTTAGAGGTAGAGATCTTAACTCTGGAGCCAAGAGGCACTGCCTTTTCAGCATTTACCAGGCACCAGGAAGCTTGCCAGGGTGTGGGGGAAGAGTATTGGAGGAGTAAACACAAATAATCAGACATTGACCCTGTCTAGAGGAAATCAGGGTAAGAGGGGAGAGGGACAAGTACAGGGCACAGAAAGGGGCGTGAAATCCAAGAGGGTGTCAGTTATTGTTTGTTTTCTGTGAGACGGGGTCTCACTATGTAGGTCTGGCTGTCCTAGAACTCACTATGTAGACCAGGTTGACCTGGAACTGGCAGAGATCCGCCTGCCTCTGCCTGCCAGGTGATGGGATTAAAGGTGTATGCCACTACACCTGGCAGTATCAGTTATTCCTATTCCATTAAAGCATTCATTCAGTTGGTACTCAAACCTGTCTTAGTTCAGTCAAGACCATGCTCTGGGTGTACAGGTAAGTGAAACAGAAGGCTGGAGAGGTGACTCAATGGACAAAGTGCTTGCTGTGCAAGCATGACACACTGAATTTGGATCTCTAGAACCCAAGTAAAAAGCCAGGCACAGCTGTGTGCATCTGTAACCCTAGCACCGGGGACAGAAACAGATGGATCCTTGAAGCTCACTGACCAGCCAGTCTAGCCAGGTTGAGTGAGAAATATGTTTCAAAAAATAAGGTTGAGAGACTGAAGACACCCCACGCCAACCTCTGGTGTCCAGAAGTGCACACAAGCCACATCTCTCTCTCTCTCTCTCTCTCTCTCTCCCTCTCCCTCTCTCCCT